TGCCATCATCATTGATGGACCGTCGAACCTCGACAGACTTCCCCATGATGACATGAGGCGCCGCTGCCACACACCCTAAAGAAACTTATATTTCCCCACCACCGCATAGGTCCACTTACAAGCATCTGTTCTTAGTCTCGAACGTGACAAAGCCGAAGCCTCGACTTCGTCCCGTGAACCGGTCCATCATCACCACTGAATCTTCTACTGGACCGAACTGGCTGAAGTACGCATCCAAAGCAGGCTTATCGGCTTCACGTGGGAGACCGCCGACAAAAACCTAATCACACACACATGACATATACGGGCCCAGTTGAGTACGTGATACCTTCTTAGTGTCATCTCCCCTCCTACCGGGCGGCCCATCATAACGAGGAGCAGGAGCAGAAACCCCCGGGTTGTGCCCCATCGGAGGCGTTTGACCAGGTGCTGAGGCGATCTGCTCTGGTTGTATAGCTGCAGCCGATGCAGTAGCAGCAGTAGCGGCTGCGACGCCCATAGGAGCAACTGGGGGCTCCTGTTGAGGAGTAGGAGCGGAAGGCAAAGGGACGGGAACAGCCTGCCATACACGAGGTATAATAAGTGCATATCAATACCGACTAGGGCTCACCTGGGGTTGTTCCTGTACAGCAGGCTCGATAGGCTTCTCAGGCGTCGGAGCTTCGACGGTCGTTACGACTTCCTGTGCTTCGGCAGGGGTAACAGCCGGTACGCCAGCTTCCGAGAGTGATGCCTCTGTGCTGGGCTCAGCGGGGGACGCCTCCGTCGACACCTCAGCCGGAGTAGCTTCATCGGTGGGCCCAGCCTCTGCTGGGGTGGTCTCCGGAACAGTAGGTGAGTCGGCAACAGGTGCCCTGAACCCGAACAATACGATGACTCTGAACCAGGCACTTCAAGAAAGAGCCTACTCTGTAGTAGTCGGGACGGTTGGTTGCTGTTGGTCCATGTTAGGAAGGAAAGAGGGTAGCCGACTAGATGAACTCCACAGAGGATGAATCTCGATAACGCCCCCACCAACACAATGACCACGACGATAGACTAATAGCAGCGGTTGAGACATTCACGTGTAGGGGCAGTCCGACTTGTCGTGATAGGCACCTCTTGAAGATGTCTCCGAAAATACAAGTGCGTATCCTATCAAGATCATTCGTCCCCATCTGGACCTACTTTGTATCTTTAAAGCTGAGTACCCGAACCAATACCACACTTCTGCCTTTTCTGACAAGTCCCTCGTAGATAAAGCTACCGAGATCACTGCTTTCTATCATCCAGCAAGGAGCAGCGCTCGGGCTCGAGTTCGTTTGATATTCTACAGCTGTTCTAAGCTCGGTCGTGAAACTCGTCCAAGAGTAATTCCCTCCTTGCCGCGCCTAGTGGCTTAGTAGGGCGACCACCAGCATGAGGAGTGTGTGATTTACGACACCCCCTATGGGTCCGCTATCAGCCGCTCAGTAGCCGCTCGCCGGGCAAGTCAGCGGACTGTCGGTCACAAAGGGGAAACTCATTAAGGAACCTCTGATAGAGATCACATACCTCCCTGAGCGATTGTGTGGTCGAGATTGCTCCTAACAGGAACGACTCTCACGGCGCTATCCCAAGGAATTGTCGACAACCTGAGGGAGGAGTGGTACTCATCTAGGCGAACCACCATTACCCGTCATGCGGCCGATGAGGCTTCGAGCATCTGGAGTCCCAACACGAGGGTAATCTGCATGAGTGGTCGAAACGGGTGTATGCCGCGGATAATATGGGCTTCTCTTTGACAGATGATAACGGTCCTCACCTACAGAGCTTATTAGTGCCTACTGCGCTGCCGATCTCCCATTTGGTCGTGTGCGGGTACTGTGAGCATCGCTCCGCTCAGGAGAAAATGTAGTTCGCGGAGTTGCAGGAACTACAAGTGACCAAGATCGTTTGCTGGTTCTTCAGTAGACTGTGAACGCAAGGGCTGACTTGGGTCAAAGGTCGACTTGATACAGCTCTTAGTTAGCAAAGTTCGGACGGAGAACCGAACTAGCCCAAAACAAGTAGTTAACAAATCCAAAGTCGTGACACACAGAAAGTGACGTGACGTCGAATAGATTAACTAATCGATAGGCGAGCCA